TTTGAGGCTTTGGCTGCATGCAAAAAAGCGCGTTAAGGGTTCATTTAGGCCACCGACAACCTGTCAATAAAGTCATTTCATTTTGCTATGCCTTATTTAGAGTGGAGAGACGGAGGTACAATTCCTAACTTGACCTCTACATAGTCAAGCATTGATTGATTTGAGCATGCCCTCGTGACCTTAGCAGAAACAACAAACCCTTTGAATAGACCATCTATCAAAGCACAAACCACATAGTTTAAGGTCTCTTCACAACACTGCGATTGGTGTTGAAGAAGGACCCTCTACATCTGGATGGAGAACTCTTTCTCAACCAGATGAAAATGTAAGCAGGTGGTTTTTTATGGGGCACAAGGATCACAGCCAGAAAAGGGATTAATGAAGGCTTACATGAGAGGTTGAGATTGATTGTAGCATTGCTTTCGCCTGCTGAATTGAGAGCTTTAATTTTGTAGACTCCACCGTCGTTTGTAGTGGGATTTGCAATTCGAATTTCACAATTGTAGACATCTGTTCCGGCCTCCACGTAGACAAACGTTAGCTTCCCTGGCTGTGGAGTTATTTGTTTGTCATTGAGGAAGTAAGTTAAGTCGGGTTTAGGATTGCCTTCGAGGCTGCAGGAGAGCACGATTTCTCCGGTTGCCGCGTCCTTTCGGATTACCGGTTTTTCGGGAAATTTGGGCGCTTTCGACTGAGGCCTATGATTAGGACGAAACGCGGAGGTAGATGGATCGCACAACCTTCACCATAAACACCTATTTTCCTTCTTCACTGGACTTAGAACCATTTTTGTAAATGCTGGAGGCTAAAAGACAATCTCTATAGAAACAAATAGGTTGATCTGACTCTAGAAAAGCAAATTGTTGTCCATAAAATGTGTCTAGGAGCGGCCACAGCCTCCATCAAAGAGGCCAGGTGTAGTACGAGTTGTTTAAATGCGCCTTGGAAATCAAAGGCAGGAGTTTGATTTGAACGCTATGCTAGCAGAAGGGAAGAACTTCTCAGACATGAATGAGG